CTGTGAATAAGGTAAATCCAAAGGTGAGTAAAAACCATTGGATTTCGACTGCCTCATCCGAACTGATAGATGCTAGAAGACTTATACCGGCGAGCTCCGAATTCAATGAGGAGCGAAAGCTGCACAAAAAGAAACTTACGAAAAGTCTCCGCAAGGACCGTGAACAGTGGTGGTTGACAAAGGCGAAAGAGATGGAAAAAGCATCGGCGATAGGCAACACCAGACAACTATTCAGGCTTATCAGGGAAACAGGTGGTAAAAGGCAAATGATAAGCGAAACAATCTCCGAGAAAAATGGCACCATAATTAGCTCCCAGGATAGACGTCTGGAGCGCTGGAAAGAACACTATGAGGAGCAGTTTAATTGGCCCACAGCCACACTTAACCTGCCGGACATCCAACACCTCCCTGAATGGGAGATAGACACAGGTCCTCCGTCCTTAACTGAGGTTACTAAAGCTGTCACCAATCTGAAGCTAGGCAAAGCAGCGGGACCTGATTTATTGACTCCAGAGGTATTTAAGTACGGAGGCGACAGTTTACTGTCTGCGTTAACGGAGGTTCTAGGCAGCGTCTGGAAATCAGAGGAAGTCCCATCGGGTTGGTGTAAGTCACTGATCATCCCGATATACAAGAAGGGGGACAAGTCGTCTTGTGATAATCACAGAGGGATTAGCTTGACTAATATAGAATCTAAAATCCTAGGCTCAATAATACTGCGTAGACTAAGTGGTGCTCGGGAGACACAAACACGAGAAAACCAGGCAGGTTTTAGGCCAGGTAGAGGGTGTATTGATCACATCTTCACCCTTCGACAGATTCTAGAACATAGGCATTCCTACCGGCGTCCGACAATCATTATATTTCTTGACCTAAAGGCGGCATTCGATTCTGTCGACCGGGAGGTTCTCTGGCGATGCTTGGCTGTAAAGGGAATGCCAAGAAAATACATTGCACTGATTAAGGCACTCTACTCGTACTCATGCAGCCAGGTGAGGGCTTATGGCGAGTTGTCATCTGAAGTGGTGACGACTAGTGGCGTCCGTCAAGGATGTCCATTATCCCCATTCCTATTCAATTTCATCATAGATGTACTAATGGACTTAACCCTAACTCACTTCAGCGACTCAGGGATTGACTTGCTACCAGGGAAGAATCTCGTTGACTTAGAATATGCGGACGATATAGTCCTTCTAGGCGAGGACTCTGACAAAATGCAGAGTCTACTGAACACCCTGAGCAACAATCTCCGCATGTTTGGCATGCGATTCGCCCCTATAAAATGTAAGATGATGCTGCAGGATTGGACTTCATCGACCCCTAGATTAGAAATAGGAAGTGAAGTGGTAGAACACGTTGACCGCTTCACTTACTTGGGAAGTACCATCAGCCCCAACGGGTTGATCGACGAAATTTCAGCACGAATACAGAGGGCTAGGTTCGCATTCGCCAGTTTTCGCCGTCTCTGGCGTAGACGCGATATCCGACTATCGACCAAAGGGCGTGTGTACTGCTCAACAGTCCGCTCCGTCCTCCTTTATGGCTGTGAGACCTGGCCATTGAGAGCAGAAGACATGAAAAGATTAGCTGTCTTCTATCATAGGTGCCTGCGTTCTATCTCCCGTGTGAAGTGGTATAATAAGGTGAGCAATATTGAGGTTAGGCATCGGTCGAGTTCTAGGTAAGGCGGGAAATCAATCGACGAGACTGTGAAATTACTTCGATTGAGATGGTTAGGACATGTGCTACGTATGCCTAGTCATCGCCTTCCTCGACGGGCAATGCTAGCTGATATAGGGTCAGGCTAGAAAAGAGCTAGCGGCGGTCAAACGAAAACATGGCACCAATCAATGAAATCCACAACAGTTAATCTAAGCCACGTAGGAAGATGTAGACTTCCTGGTTGGGGCCCTCGGGATGGTAAAAACCAATGGTTGGAAACAATTGGTGACATGGCTCAAAATCGTTCTCAGTGGCGCAGATGCATCCACTCCTTGTGACTTATGATTTCCAATTAAACTGTTTTGTTCTCCGTTATTGCTATTCCTTTATCTCACACCTCTGTTTACTGTCTATATTATGCATTTCTTCTACTTCCTTCTCTTGCTTTGCGTGCTACATAGATTGTGGCGACTTGAACTGCCGCACATATGTGCAAAGTTCTATGTCGAAAACCGACCGACCGACCGAACTGTTGTAGATTTCATTCACTGGTGCCATATTTTGGTTTGATCACCGCTAGCTCTTTTCCAGCTGACCCTTTGTCAGCTAACACTAACCATCGAGGAAGGCGATGACTAGGCATACGTAACACATGTCCTAACCATCTCAATCGATGTAGCTTCACAACCTTGTCGACTGATTTCCCCTCCTTACCTAGCACTCGGCACCTTGTGTAAGAATCTTTCTTACACTATGCTGGGGGTCTGAGGGCGAAGTCGTACTGCTAGGGAACAGGAGTGTAACAGCAGTAAGGTATTCCCCTCAGATGACCAGCATTCCAGCTATGCTGTCTCTCCACTCCGGAGAGAGGAGGTTAGAAAAAGTCAACCCCAAAAATTGTACATTCCGACTTACCCTACGGTGGTCCGTAACCGGCGGCAAGTTTACTAATACGGGACCAATCCCAGAAACCAGTTCATACAGGCCGTGTGTGACCAGCCTCAAGGAGTTGTCCCCTGGGCTCTGCGGTCACGCAACACTAACCCTGTTTCTGTTTCAGGTACCCGAAGAGTCAATCAACCTCCACGGTGTGGGGAGCCGGGAAATAACAACCGCTCACACACTTCCAAAAGCACCCAAAGAGGATAAACCACTTACACTACGATGGTTAGTTACTCGAAGTCTAACCGCTATGGAAAAAACTCTTTTTGGTATGTTAGGACCTTTAGGAATATTCATTCCAGTCAGTGTAGCTCGTTGGGTCATTTGTGATATGCAAGCCCGACTACCATCACATCAAAATACCAGCTATCGATCCGATTTATTACAGCTCCCAAACACACAAAGAGTAAAAGTAACTATCACCAAAATATTACTTGTCTTCGATCGTATCAATGCGTCTCACTAAAACTGTTTAGATATATCTGGTCGGACTCTAATTCAGTCCTTGGATATGTTGACAATCCATACACGATCATAGTAACATAAGTGCTATTGAGAAAGAAAAAGACTCTAGTATTTCATTTTTAGACGTCCTTATGACCAGAAAAGAGGATGGCACAATAAGAAGAAGTGTTTATAGAAAACCTACATCAACGGGCCAGTACACACATTTTCTCAGCTTTGTGCCCTTGAAATACAAACGCAATCTAATAAAGTGCTTGGTCCACAGAGCAAGAGAGATTTGCTCGAACGAATGTCTTGACGAGGAACTTAACAATATTAAACGGTTGCTAAGTGAGAATGGTTATCCTGAAAAGTTTATTGATAAGAATCTGAATCTGAAACCAAAGCAGCCCAAGTTACCAACAGTTCCAAAAAAGCCTTATTCTTACAGATGCAGTTCCTAGGAGACAACACCAGTGAGATATTAACACAGCGCCTTAGAAATGCGGTAAAAAGAGCATTCCCTGCTGCTGAATTACGCTGTATCTTTAAAACCACTCCTCTTCTGCATTCGGGAATAAAAGACAAACTGCCTAATTTCGCCTCTTCCATGTGTATATACCAATTTAACTGCTCCTGTGGAGCCAGTTACATAGGCCGTACAATTAGGCGTGTTTCCCGTCGAATTTCCGAACATCACCCTGCCGCGTGGTTAAGCAAAGGACAAACAAAATCTATTCGCAGCGCTATTCTATCTCATCTTGTGGATACAGAACACAAGATTGACGTTAATCATGCTTTCAGGGTAATTTACCGCATACCTACGAATCTCAATTTTGCTTTAAGAGTTCGACTACTAAATATTGCTGAGGCTGTGGGGATCCATATTAACAAGCCTAATTTATGCATCCAAAAGAAGTTGGTTCAGTCATTATCATTACCTTGGCCATCCAGGTTTGAATAATCCGGAATTTTTGTGGAATTTTCTTAATTTTAGTTGATATTCTATTTGCTACTATATCTTTATTATTATTATTACAATTTAAGCATCTTTAATGAACTGTAATTCCATTGTGATCTTACTTTACAAATCGATATTATTTAAAAAACACTAATATTGTTATTAATTACTAATCTAGAATATTCTGTGTATATAAACATGTTTATATAATTGTAGAGCCAGAAGAGAAAATTATCTCAAAGGATATTCTTTGCTCAATTATTTTGTGTTTTATAAGTGCTTTTGTATATTATATATATATATATATATATATATATATATTAAAATTGTAGTATTTTATGTGTATCGCGTCGGTGGCACAGTGGTAGAATGCTTGCCAACCACGCGCTCACGTGGTTTGGGGTTCGATCCCCGGCCATCGACGCACTCCTTTACCTCACTATATCAGTAATAAGACTGGTAAAGACGGAAGGTTGGGCATGAGGCGGCTAGCAACCCCATCCCGTAAAAATAAACACCACTGATACCGAAACTTCAAAAACACTCTAGCCTGGAGTCCTATGTTCCACTGGGGACGTAAATGCCTATCAACCCTTTCATACTTATATGAAAAGTATTGTCAATAATGCATAGTAATAATAATAATAATACGCAAGTAAACATATATACTCTGAGGAGACCAACGAGTAACATTCACGATTCAAGTAGACCTCTCAAGTGAAACCCGGATGGGAGAAAGACGAAATGGACGTCTGAGGGTGATGTGGTGAAGATCGTGTGAGGAGTCAGTTAAAGAGGACTGCAGACAACAGGATGAAATTGAGGTATGTTGTTGAGACCCTATGTTCCATTTGGAACCCAAGGGACTTAGCATAGCCGACCATGTGCATGGTCGGCGAGCGTCCTAACCGCTATGCCACCGACGCACAACCCAAAGGACTAATAACAATAATAAAAATGGCAAATATATCAAATAAAAAACACTACTTACAGGTTCATTTGGATCAAGATCTTCAACAGTCTCTATAATATCTGCATTGGCTTCACATAACAATATTTGAATCACCTTACGATCACTCTCCTTTACATCAGATACAAATGGATCCTTTATAATAACAAAAAATAGGATTAAAATAAGACATCAGTTAGCAAAGAATACTCTTATCATAATTTCAAAACTGTACAGTTATGTGTAGCGTTTCAAAAGGTCAGGAAAATGCCTACAAAGGTCAATTGTTTAATATCATCAGTTGGCAACAAAATATATTAAGAAAAGGAGTAGATTACGTAATCTAAAAGCAATTAAGTGTTGAGTATCGTTCAGAAATGATTACTATTAAAAAATACAAACTTTTGAAAACAGAAACACTGATCAAAAGAGTCACATTTAGAATATGTACACAGTATATTTTTAAGTTAGGACTGACTGACTGACTGAACTACTACTCAAAGACGAATTAACTGCTTAGTAGTGAGCGAAGAACACTCCCTTAGATAACTTCTTCTTCTTCACTAGGTTCTACAGTCATATGTTGATAATAAACAATTAAAGAATTATTCTTATTGACAACATTTCTTAAATAACCTCGAATCGTTAGGATCAATAGATCACAGTTCAACGAACCATCCGTAGGTGATAATATGCACAGAAATGTAATACTAAACAGAATATCAGATATAAGTTAATTGGTGGATGGTGACTAGCAGTGGAATCCAGGATGCGCATGTCATCCTATTTGGGACTCGTCAGGCGGATGTAACTGCATTCCTCAGTGAGTCAGTGATGGTGTTCCCACAGGAGCTCGAACTCAGTGCCAATAGTTTCAAACGACAAACCGTTATCCACTAGACCACTTGAACCACGAGAACCACCTCTTGTGCAACGGATCATATTAATTATTTAATTCAGTAATTAGAAGTTCTAATTACATGCCCAGACATCGTTGAAGCATCTGCACAAAGAGGAGCCGACATGTCAACCTGACACCAAGCACTTCGGTCCAATCAATCGACGGGAAAATCTAAAACTGAATTAGAGAATATCATATAAATCAAGAACAGGGAGTGGGTGCCTTGCGCTGAGGGGTGGCCACCCCTCCGCACACCTCTTGAAATGCTCCCATATGACCGGGCGTCTTACATAGCCTCTCCTGAGGAAGTCCTACTCACTGCCTTCACGTGGCGGAGGTGTTTTTCACCAAAGTGAGAGGGCGAAAACGGATACCCGGCGCTCTTCACCGGGTTGACTGTCCATTGGATGACAGTCTAGGGGAGATGGCTAAACCCTGATTCCAAACCTCCAACGACTGGCGTATGAAGCTCACTGGAGCTCACCGGCAGACGTATGGACAAAGGGCTTGTTGGATGTCCTGGATGTCTGGCCCCATTCAAAAAGGCGTATGAACCGAACTCCGGTCACCGGCTGCCAATGGATAGTGGACTCCCTACTCCACTCCTACTGCCTTGTAGGTCACACTTGGTTGTGTAAAGGCTAGAGCTGCACTCTCAAACAAAAGGCCGAGTGGTTCTGGGGACATCACTCGTACCAAATTCCCATGAAACTTCGTAAACTCTCTTCATCAGATCACTGCGCCTGGGCAGCGATGATTCGAGGTGTTCATGAAGCCGGCTCATCCTTCCGTAGGAGATAGCCGAAGCAAAATAAAAAATAAAAATAAAAAAGAACAGGGAATTTATGAATTTACAGGTAACAGAGCGGTAGGCCAGCGTCTGTCTGTCTGTTTCTCTCTGGATTCAACATAGAACTTGGCACCGATGTGCAGCAGTTCGAGTTACCACGTTCCAAATACCACACAAAAGTAGAAAAGAAAATGAGTGAAGGGAATCAATAGTTTTGACAAGTATAAGAGTGAAACAGAATGAGTAATGGAATATGAAAGATTACAGAGACTGAATGCATCTGCGTAAGCCATTGACAACGATTTTGAGCCATGTCACCTATTGTCTCCATCCATTGATTCTTAGAGTCCCGAGGGCCGGGCCCCAACCCGGAAGTCTGCATCTCCCCCCTACCTGACTCAGTTTAACTGTCAAGGACTTCATGGATTGATGCCATGTTTTTGTTTGGCCACCACTCACTCTCTTCCAACCTGCACCTATATCAGCTAGTAATGCCCGTCAGGGGAGACGATGGTTAGGCCTGTGCAGCACGTGACTTAGCCATCTCAATCTATGTAACTTTATAGCCTCTTCGATTGATTTTCCCTCTTTGCCCAACACTCTACGCCTAACGTCAACATTACTTATCTTATTATACCACCTAACGTGAGAAAGAGACCGTAGACATCTATGATCAAAAACAGTCAACCTTTTCATGTCTTCAACTCGTATTGCAGGCCAGGGTAGCAGTAGTGGCTGCATTTGTTTCTTCTGCGCACAGAATTTCGGTTGTTTTAAACAAATTACTATGGTGTCTGCTGTTTGGAGTATTCGGTATCTAGAGAGAGGTCCTTGGTAGTATACGTTCGGTATCCGATAGATAATGGAAAAAGACTCTTTCAGTGCCGGCCTTATGGCTTGATTGAACCAGATAGTCTAATATCGAAGTATTGATGGGTTTTCTTTCGATACACCTTTATTTAACCACATGAATCAAGGAAAATTAAGCTTCTAGAACAATGAACAATATATAACTGGCTCCACAAGACCATTTGAATTGATCGAAACAAGAAGAGGTGAGTATACAAGGCTCATATTTCCCATACACCTGGTTGTGAGGCTCAAACTGAAAGATAAAGTGCCTAGGCTAACCGCCTCCTCTTGTATCTGTTGACTCGATGTTATTTAAAACATTAATTATGTAGGTAGCAACAATTCTTTAACTATAATCTGGTGAAGAAGTTAGATTGAGATGGCTAGGTCACGTGCTGCACAGGCCTAACCATCGCCTCCCACAACGGGCATTACTAGCTGATATAGGTGCAGGTTGGAAAAGAGTAAGCGGTGGCCAAACAAAAACGTGGCGTCAATCAATCCATGAAATCCCTGACAGTTAAACTGAGTCAGGTAGGAAAATGCAGACTTTTGGGTTGGGGACCTCGGGACTTCAAGAATCAATGGCTGTAGACAATAGGTGACATGGCTCAAAATCGTTGTCAATGGCTTACGCAGATGCATTCAGTCTCTGTAATCTTTCATATTCCATTACTCATTCTGTTTCACTCTTATACTTGTCAAAACTATTGATTCCCTTCACTCATTTTCTTTTCTACTTTTGTGTGGTATTTGGAACGTGGTAACTCGAACTGCTGCACATCGGTGCCAAGTTCTATGTTGAATGCAGACAGGCAGACAGACAGACCTTGGGTATAATTCCAAGTTCTACTACTTTGTTAATAATGCTTTTTTGAGCGTTTGCATGACATCTTAGCGACATCTTTTTCTTAACCAACCCTTTATTTGTTCCTTCTACCTATTGCATAATCTATTTTGGACACGTGTCTCCATGCTCTTCCATTAACATCCTATTTTTCTGGGCGTTTTTTATATCATGCAACCCTTGTCAGTACTTACCAGTCTTCACTCCCTAGTTACAACTTGATTACTCACCACATTTTTGAAACATTTTGATGATGTAAACAATAACCCTAACTAATTTTTATTTTTGTTTGACAATCCTAATGTACACACACACAAAAAATAATTTTACATAAATGCGATTCTACAGCTAAGTGTGAATGAATTCGCTGCTGAAAAGAGACTCTTCTCTGAACTTTTTTCTTCTTATATTCATATCTGGATGGGTATTTTCCGTGAATATTCTGATCTTAGCTGCATAAAAAGTCTTTTTAACTGCAGCGTTCAATCTTTGTCGAGTTACCAAGCTGCTATGATCACCCATTTGGGGTAACTTGATATATACGTCTTTCTTAGAGGCGAGTTAGAGAATGCGTCTTAGTGTTCTGACCACTTTATATCTCCTTATGAACTTCTCCGGATGATTATTATAAAACCGAGTTTTCTTTCTTCATCTTCAAGTCTGTTTTCTGAGCATATTCTTTGAATTCTACCGAAGAGGCACCTCATTGAGGCTCTTTCATACCGAACAGAACAACAGCTGTGATAATTAAGATACTGACTGTCCTGTCCAGGTAGGTTTGCAATAAACAGATCGTTTTATTGATCCATCAAGCCGTCAACCAAGCAATATATCTAGGAAAGATAAACAATTATCTTTCTCTAATTCAATTTTAGATTTTCCCGTCGATTGATTGGACCGAAGTGCTCGGTCTCAGGTTGACATGTCGGCTCCTCCTTGTGCAGATGCTTCGACGATGTCTGGGCATGTAATTAGAACTTCTAATTACTGAATTAAATAATTAATATGACCCGTTGCACAAGAGGCAGTGGCTCTCGTAGTCCAAGTGGTCCAGTGGATAATGCTTTGGCGTTTGAAACTATAGGTACTGGGTTCGAGCCTTGGTGGGAACACCATAACTGACTCACTGAGGAATGCAGGTACATCAGGCTGACGAGTCCCAAAATAGGATGACATGCGCATTCTGGATTCCACTGCTAGTCACCATCCACCAATTAACTTCTAATTATCTTTCTCCTCTACAGATATAAGTACTGTGCTATTCTGAACTTCATTCATTCGATTTAAAAGTGAGGTGGCAAAAGAAGGCTTATCACTCATGATTACAATGTCGTTGATATATCTTCTATAAAGTGGTACATTTTCGATTAAATCCCACTGTATCTTCCAATGTAAATGTACGTGTGGCCACACATACATAGGGAGGACTCATCGATCTATGCAAGTAAGGGCTTTAAGGACATATTCCTAATTGGCTTCAGAAGCAAATGGAATCCCCAGGGTCTATTAATAATAAGAACAGACGACCTAGCTTTTCTATTGCGAAAGGCATATTCTTTATTCATTATCCAGTCTTTCAAATATTGTTCAATCACTGTAATACCACAACAATTCACAAATTTGTGAGCTAAACAGTGATATATACACATTTGGTGCAACGACGTCTGGAGACTCGAACTTTTGACAGATGGTAAAGAGGTGAGAAGTCGAAATTTCGTGGCTGAAAGACATTCACTTAAAGCAACAGATCACACACTTAATGTTCTAAGGAATATTACAACAGAGAATATAGTTTATAGGAATAAGCGAAGTCATAAAATGTCATCAAGCAAAAATGAAAATCACTACATGCAAACAGAACACCACACTGAGATATATACATTTTCAAGAGTTGGTCGGTAGGGATAAAATTTGTTTTTACGAGTTTGACCACGGATTGATACCAGTTAGACTATTATTATTATTTCCTTTAATTCCTAGAGGAACATAGGGCTTCAGCTGCGCGTCTCCATTGCGTTCGGTTCTCTGCTAGAGTCTTCACCTGGCTCCATGTCTGCCCACACGTTTTCATCTCTTCTTCACATGACCTCCTCCAAGTCACCCTTGCACTGACGACCAACTCGCCGCTTCCCATTTGGGTTCCACTCGAGCAATGGCTTGTCTAGTGATGTCACTTGATGGTTTCCTCAGAGTATGGCCAATCCATCTTCATTTCTTCTTGCCTATTTGTTTCACAATCGGTACTTGGTCGGTTCGCTCAATGCCAGAGATCTCTATTGCTGATCTTTTCTGGCCATCTGATCTTGAGTATTGAGCGAAGACATCTGTTAATGAAGGTCTGTAGCTTGTTTGAGGTGCTCTTCATGATGCGCCAAGTCTCTGATCCGTTAGAGAACCAGTGAAAACCAGTCAGGAAGTACTGGACAGCTGTTTCATGCTAGTTTGGGAATCATCGGTAGTACGCACCCACTGCCAGGGTTCGAACCCAGGACCTACCTTCCGGTTACAAGGCAAGCTGGCTCGTATACCATTCAGCCACTGGGACCCGACCCGATTCAATGGCCAGCCAATTAATTCTAACTTCTACCAATTCGTGATTTAGGGCGAACACTGATATTAATCTGTGGTCAAACACGTAAAAACAAATTTAATACTTATAAACCAACTCTTGAAAATTAATCTGATGCTCGCTAGTGACTTGCTACAGGACGGAGTTTCCTGGAGTCCTGGCGAGAAGTCGTGACCAATGAGGTCCATCCAATCAAGTGTGAGGATGGATGTCCCACCGATGACATTGGTTAACGGTAGTGCTAAATCACGAATTGGTAGAAGTTAGAATTCATGGACTGGTCATTGAATCAGGTCCCAGTGGCTGAATGGTATACGAGCCAGCTTGCCTTGTAACCGGAAGGTCGTGGGTTCGAACCCCAGTGGGTGCGTACTACTGATGATTCCCAAACTAGGATGAAACAGCTGGCTGTCCAGTACTCCCTGGCTGGTTTTTAGTGGTTCTCGAACTGATATCAATCCGTGGTCAAACTCGTAAATATATATATATATAGTTAGTTATAAATAAAATACGAGTCTAGTTATTGGTCATTTTAGAACAATATTTATAGGGGCTAACAACGAACTACACACACAAAACAATTTTGAACTTACTAATAAGAGATCTTTACATTCTGGTCTTTGATTTGGATCCTTTTGAAGAATACGTGACAAGAATTTATTGAATTTTGGAGACCTACAAAAAAATCACATTACACAATCAATTATGATGACATTTTCTATTATCTGAAAGACTAGGTCGACCTATTTTCATATATGTAAGAATATTTGATGATCGTTAGGATTAAAGCATCACGAGCAAGACAAGAAGTAAAGACAGACTGCCCTGTTTCACCTTTTCCATGTGTATTTACCAGTTCAACTGTTTGTGCGGAGTTAGTTACATTAGGTGTAAGATCAGGCAAGTTCATCGCCGAATATCTAAACACATCCCATCTTGGTTTGGCAAAGGTCCTAATAAACTTATACTCAGCTGAATACTAGCCCATCTCGTCAATACTGGCTGGACATCATGTCGACTCAGTCTAACAAAGCTTATAAAGTTATTTATCGTATATCACCCAACCTCTCGTATGGTCTACGAGTACGACTTTTACATACAACAGAGGCAATCGGAATTCATCTGAACAAACCAAATCTGTGTGTTCAAAAGAAATTTGTACAGCCCGTTTCTTTGCCATGGCCAACTACTTACTATGTATTACGTCATTACGTTTTTAAAAACGAGTTTTTCCCATCTCCTTGTAATTATCTTTTGGCTTTGTTAATATTTACAATTTTAGGTAATTCTATTAAGTTATTTGTATTTTACATAATTCGTCTGAGTCATCCTATTCTTCTTAGTCATCATTGCTATTTTACAAACTTCTTGATTACGTAATAACTTGTTGTTAATGTCTACGCATTAACTGATCTTCAATTCCGTAATTAATTCATGAATTTTCACTCCACCTTCAAAACTTGCCTATCTTGTTAGTTGTTTGGATGACCTTTAACCTCTTCATTTCACCACCACCCCTTAAACTTAAAACTAATTAACAAAAATAACCACTTGATTGGTAAAATTGTCACGTAAGGAAAAACTACATATTAGTATAGAGCCGATAATGAGAAACTAATTGAAAAGGAATGTATTTTTCGCTCAATCTGTTTTGTTTTTACACAAATAAAAGTATATATATATATATTTGATACTTTAAGCATCCCTACTAGGCAATACATAATAATGATGACACTTCGTCGTGACCAGTAGGGTACGGCAGGTCGCGTGTGTGAGGACAAATACTCGCCAGAGATAACATTGGCTAGTGGTCCCGCTATGTCGTGAATTGGCAGAAGTTGAAATTCGTGGGCTGACCATTGAATCGGGTCCCAGTGGCTTAATGGTCTACGAACTCGCCAGCCTTGCAACCAGAAGGTCCTGGATTTGAACCCCAGTGGATGAACACTGATGAAGAGTCCCAAACTAGGACGAAATAGCTGTCCAGTACTACATGAAGGTTTTCCGATGGTTCTCTGATCGATGTCAGTTCATGATGAAATCCTGTAACTTTGAAGAAATTTTGCCAACTACTGATTTTTAACTAACTGTAAATATATTCAAAAATACTACAACGCAGAAATGTATGAAAAGGTTTACTGAGGCTGTAACAGCTGATCAGTCCTCAACATCGATAAGTTACACTTATACCTAATTTGGAAATCACTAACGTTGTACAATTCACATTAAAACTTCTCTCAGATAAATCTAATTCAGTGAATTTAAATGCAGAACTTGGCAAAGAAGTGTGGTAGTTGAACCTGCCACATTTCATGTGGACAGAATCGAGAAAAAAGAAATTCAAAAGAAACGTCATGAGCGGAAGTGTACGGCAGAAAAAATAGTACCATGTAAAAACATGAGGCTTTAATGAATCTGTGCTGCCGACAACGGTTCGGAGCTATTTCACCAACAGGTTTTATCTATTGGTTCTTAACATCTCGTGGATGCAAGTCAGACAGTCTGTACCTCATACCAACTGTCATGAACTGATGCCAGGTTTTGGTTTGACCACTCCTTAACTCTCTCAACCTAATCCTTTGCCAGCTAGCATTGCTCGTCGAGGAAGACAGTGGCTCAGCATGTGTATTACGTGTCCCAGCCACCTGAATGGATATGGTTTCACAACCTCAACGATGGACTATTCCTCCTTGAGTAACATTCTACGCCTAATCTCGACATTACTCACCAAATTATACTATTTGATATCGGAGATGGAGCGCAAACATCTGTGGTCAAAAACAGTTAGCTTCGGATAGGTGATTTTCTAAGTGTTTTAAAACTTTAAAGGAAATGGCTGGCTTAGTTAAGTGTCTAACAAACCAAGCAGTAGCACTAAGTAGTAAAAGAAAAGACCTAAATGATGAAATAAAACAGATAGAAGAAGCGTTGGTGTCAAATAACTATCCTATAAAATTCATTAGGAAGATCAGTAAAGGCCAAAAGCAAAATAAAAATAATTGTGAAACTAGTAATGACAAAATAAATAAGAGAGAATATAAGGCATCTACAGTAGTTTTGCCATATAAGGAGGGGACATCTGAGACCCTACGTAGGATTCTCAATAAAGCAGAAATTTGAGTGGCATTCAAACCTACAAACTCACTCACGTAGGACGAGCTCTGTAGGTTAAAGCACCCTGTAAGTGGAACCAATTAGACAAAATAATATAATTTACAAAATACCCTGCAATGACTGCGAGTTAGGTCAACTACATAGCTCAAACTAGCAGGTCGGGGGTAGTCAGATTATCAGAACATAAGAATTTAGCTAAGGTAAGAATGGTTGACCCCGAGAAGATAAGTAATTTAGAAAAAAGCTCAGCGATTGCACTACCTGCATTAACAACGCACAACCACACAATAGGGTGGGAGAGGGTTAAGATTCTAAGAAGTAATATAAGTAGGTGGAGAGAGGTTAATTACTGAATCCTTGTTCATTATCCTATATTGATTTTTATTCAAATGTCTAAACAATTTCACTCATGTATATAAATGAAGCAAGAAAGTTCTGTGAGTGCGCTGATATGATTATGAGTGGCAATAATTTGTGCTCGAAACGTGGTCATCAGTAAATATTACTGTATAACACTGTGTGATTTATCAAAATAAAATCTTATCCATAATGGGATTTAAAGGAAACCACCAGTTCAAGGAAAAGGACTGTGATCCGTGACAAAATTACCACAAATTAACAAATAAAAACACTACTGAATAGCATCAGAAGTTAGAAACCGCTTACTCTGATTCTTAAATTCAGCTAGTCGTATCACAGCAATGGAAATATAGGATAGCTGTTTCACTCACATTAGAGAACTATAATCTTTGGCGTTACGTCAACGGTTTGTTTTCTAAATTCCTGCTGACACTAGAGCTTATTAGTTGATAAAACCGCTCACTGTTTGAGATGTATCAATGTAAAATGAGCAATCTTGAAAAAATAGAGAATATTTGTAGCTCAGGTGGATGATTTGCTATTAGTTGTGTTCTCTGAGCTGGTTGGTTTATTTGCGGAGCTTTCTTCGTCCTTCTGGACAACATCTTCAGTGCAAGTTTTAGCATAAAATGAACTGATTCGAAACAGATGTGTATCGACTACCAGTCACGAAGATGGTTGCCAGGAGACACAATTTTTCTTTTTGATTATAGCTTGATTCCACACTGTATTCTTGGTACAAGTATGGAATTCTCAGCATATGATATCGGTAGCCCAAATTTTGCAGGCCGACCATAGAAATCAGGTGTGCGTCGGCAGGGGATCGAACCCCGGACCATGTACATGGTCGGCGAGAGTCCTAACCGCTGTGCTACCGACGCATACATTCTATCATTCATGGAGAATTTAAATCAGTTCATTTTATGCTAGAACTTACGCTGAAAGGGGATGTCGTCCAGAAGGACGACGAAAGCTCCGCAATGGAACCAATCGGTTCAACGAACACAACTAATTGCAAAATAAGCAATCACCGGCATACAATAATCGCACAAAAAAAGATAATAAACTAAATTTTAAAAAATAATTTCCCTAGGATACATGAGACGCTACTCACCATAAATGTGGTTTAGATAATACAGGTGGATCTGATTTGGAAATTTTCAAAAGGACACGTGTTGGATTAATTGAATTATGCGGTGGTCTCATTTGAGCCAATTCGATTAAAGTTATGCCTAGATAAAGTTAACAAAATATAACAAAATATTAGTTCAAAATATCCAAACTAATTAAAATTCAAAAACCATGAACTTGAAAACTCATTTACATAGGGTAGGTCTGTCACTTGGATGAAATGTGTGTACACTATTATTCAGTTTTTGTGTGTGAAGTTATACATGCCTACAAAGTGATAATGATCGAACTGTGTTACTTATCAGATAAAAAGTTTTCAAATGTACTTTATTTATGGAAAATAAAATAATAATGAATTCAACTCGTTCACTACATACAGATTTATATACACAGCATTGAGCTATATTTATCATACAAGACCTGGTACCGCCAAGGAGGTGGGAGGGGTAGACTTCGGTTGTCCACTCGAAATGCTCTCATATGGCATGTATTCATAGCCTCTGCCATGAAAGTTCTATTCATTACCTTCACCCGGCAAGGGGTGGGGTGTTCCCTACGACAGTGGAAGAGCGAATGTGAATGTATATGCAGGTCTACCTAGAAGAGCTGCTTAAAACGTCATCAATAAACATTACTGTATAATACTGTGAGACCTTATCAAAATAAAATTTACCCATAATGGAAGAGCTGAAAAACCCTAATTCCAAACTTATGGTATACATGGTCTCCAGAATCCAAACAGGTAGAATAGTGTGCGAACTTGTTTTCGACACTAGACACCATGAGAAAGCAGCTCCTGACGCTGCTCCACTACCTTGTAAAAATAAGACTTCAAGTCAAAGGTTTCGGCGGTGGCCCCTTGAGACAACCACCTGCTTCAGTCTGGGTGTTTACTTGCAGCCAATCGTTGCCGGATTGGAATTTAACTTTAACCTAGGTGACTGGAGGAGTATCACTAGCCTTCATACAATATGCGTGGTGCATAGCATATGACATAAAGTGCTGTTCTAAGTGACTAAGTTTTAACACAACAACAGAACTTTTATGCTCATTATGCCTAATGATTACGACATTATCGACTTTTGGAAAGTAGGCATTCTCGTACCATTAGAATACATCTGTGAAAATATATCTGCCTTATTGGTAAGTGAACAGGACGGCTATAAAACGTTTAGACACTGAAATATATAATTTACTTACTTTACGTACGTTACTGTTATAGTATAGTCTACATATAGGATGTATTACTAATCCATAATTACATTTATACTTCTGATCACAAGGGAATACAAGCCAGACCTTTTTTAAGTCAGCATTCCTTTACAAACCAATTTAATTAAAAGACTATGGCTCATTCTAATGTGTTTTAATAAGAACTCTGTCCACAACCTTGAAAATGTTTAGCACACTTCATTAGGTGAAAATAAGTGCTGCACACGCCTAACCATCGCCTCCCCCGACGGACGGGCATTACTAGCTGATATAGGTAGGTGCAGGTTGGAAAAGCGTAAGTGGTGGCCAAACAAAAACATGGCCTCATCAATCCATGAAATCCTTAATAGTTAAACTGAGTCAGGTAGAGAGGGAGATGCAGACTTCCGGGTTGGGGCCCGGCCCTCGGGACTCTAAGAATCAATGGATGGAGACAATAGGTGACATGGCTCAAAATCGTTGTCAATGGCCTTCGCAGATGTATTCAGCCTCTGTAATCTTTCATATTCCTTTCTACTATTACTCATTCTGTTTCACTCTTATACTTGTCAAAACTCTATTGATTCTCTTCACTCATGTTCTTGTCTATCTTTGTGTGCTATTTGGAACGTGGCAACTCGAACTGCTGCACTTCGGTGCCAAGTTCTATGTTAAATCCAGACAGACGGATAGGTGACAATAAACAACAGTAAATGGACACTGTTATATCGCATGTAATTACCAAGTGTATACAATAAATAAGGAATTTCATCATCCTTATTTTATTGTCACTCCATTATGGATAAGATTTTATTTTGATAAATCACACAGTGTTGTGCAGTTATATTAACTGATGACCATGTTTCGAGCACAAACGATTACCGCCCATAATCATATCAAGTCACTCACTCACACAACTTTTTTCCTCGTCTTATTTCCCATATGATTGTAATTTATCAATAACACTCGTATTATTATTATTTCTGAATGTACATTATCTCATATTGATTTTTATTCCAATACCACATGTATATAAATGAAAGAAAAAGTTGTGCGAGTAGTGACTTGATATGATTATGAATGGCAATAGTTTGTGCTCGAAACGTGGTCATCAGTTAATATTACTGTACAACAAAAATCTTATCCATAATGGAGTTATGCTCTACCACAGTGCCACCACAGTTTTATACTTAAATCAATCCTTATTATCAATTGCATAAAAATAAAATGGATAGTGGAATGAGGTAGGCGACGTCAAAAAATAAGTTGATTGATATGCAGAGTTCTCAACTGGTAATTTAAAATGACTTCAAAGTACATTTTTTTCAGAACTACTTCACACCTACACTTATTTCAATCGAAATACTACTTAAAAACAGTATATGTTTTTAAGTCGTAAAATAGATAAGTTTATGCGACTGAATTCTTAACTTGACAAAAGAATGCATTTGTTGCTTGGATGAGAATTAAGACATATCATATTTTATTATAAATTATTTAAATTAATCCCAGCGTGTTTAAGAAAATCAAAATAAGATTTTTCTAAACGTTTCGCTGTGTAAACACGCTGGGAATAATTTAAATAAGTTATAATGAATCAATCTGACTCGGCGCTCAAATTATTCCAGGAAGTTCGTAACACCTACGGTCTGGGAACTTATAATATCATGTTTTACTTGTAATTTTTTTAAAATTCCTTTACGTTTCCAATGGAACATAGGGCTTCAAGCTGGAGGCTTGAAGTTTCGGTAACAGTGGTGTTTATTTTTACGGGATGGGGTTGCTAGACGCACATCCTAACCTTCCCTCGTTGCCAGCCCCGCCACCGGCTTAGCGAGGTAAAGCAGAGTTTAGACCGAGGATCGAACCCCGGATCACATACGTGGTCGGCGAGCATTTTACTGCTGTGTCACCGACGCACATTTACTTGCTATATATATATATATATATATATATATATATACAGCAATTCTTGTTACTATCTATCCCAGTAAACCAACTTTATTTGACATACACTATAGTAACTATATGATTAGAGGAAAACTGGAGCAGTAACACTTTAAAGATGCCTAATTACCATGACTGAAGTAAACAGAAGTGGAAAGGTTAGTGTTGCAAATTTACACTGCAGCACTGCAACTCATATTAATTAATCAGTGTCATTTTGTCCAATTCCTCAAGCTGAATGAATTTTTCCACTCAACCTTGTAATGTGATTATCGAGCTCGAACTCACAATCGTGGTAAACTTTAAAGTGAAACTAAGTGGTTGCATGCAACCGGTAGTAAGGTTTTAGTAGAAAAATTATCTTTCGAGGCGACCACACTGAGAAGTCAACCGGCTAGTGCTAAGGAATAGACGACGTGATACTGGTTACTCTAGTGATCAATTAATGTACTCAACACAATCCTAAAGGAAGTTAATCACAGCTCAAGTAGCAAACTGTATGACAAAGCTATTTAATCTCCTAGTGGATGTAGTTTCCAAGACTGCCAATATGCCTCACCCACGAGTGGCAACATGCATGAAACCCAGCTAACCTGGGACACTCAACAGTAGTTATAATATGTTCAGAGAAAGTACAGTACAATATTGAAACTACCAAAAATGTGTGACATCCATGCACACAAATACACCTTTCAAAGTACTTCGTAATATTAATTATTCACCAAGAGACTTACTAACCGACTATGACACCAAGTAGGATAAATCATATTTTTGTTAATAAAGACAAAGGTTGAATACATCATCTTTACATCATTATATAATTAATGCAAAAAAACTATGAGAAACGTACCGAAAGACCAAATGTCAGCTTTCCAGTTGTAAGGGGCATCCTTGAAAGTCTCACAAGTGATAACCTCCGGAGCCATCCAGTAAGGAGTTCCAATAAATGTTGATCGCCTTTGTCTTTCATCTGCCAATTTTGCTGAGACTCCAAAATCAGCTGTTAATCAATCAGAATTTCTTTTTTTAATGACATTTTTTATTGAGAATACTTCAAAAGCTACCAGCATAGAAAATATCTATAACGAGAATCATCTTTAAAAAACGTTATTACACCACTACAACACAATTTGTGTAGCTCCTACACAAGCTACCAAAATGTGGACCATGCACTTACAATAGCAACATGGGACAAAGATTAATTATGAAAATATCGTTATACTTTTAGTTGTTAAACTTCTAGCGATTAATTTATGTATGCACAATAAGATTTTGACAGCAACGTTTGAAGTGGTAAGTTAAGTCCTGAACCTATTTATTATATGGCTGTTTTTAGATTACTCAGGGAAAACTCCTCATTTCCATATTTTGTTAGGAAATTTAAGCTTGCGAAACTGATGTTACAAATAAACAACATACCACAAGATCTCCACCCTTTCAAGGAATAATATTTAGACAATGATAACCTGCCACAGACACTGTACCACTTAATTGTTCCAAGCGAAGCCGATTAAATAGGCTTTGTAACGTTACTTGAAAGTCCATTGTCATAACCAATGATAACAATATTTAAAGATAAAAGAACACTGATATCGGTCTATTCAGGGTGTAAGGTAAGGTCTTAGCTACAATTGATGAAAATAGTTGTGTCCTACTGGTTTATTCAAACCAATGAATTGGCTAAACTTATGATTCAACAAAATTCAACCACCTCATCACTGTAATACTTTTTATATGCTTAAGTGATTTTTTTTTTAAAAAAAACAGTGAATCCTATCACACTTAACATAAGTAAGGACGTAAATAAAAGTGCGATTCGGAGTAACTTCGTTCCCTCACAGACTAAGACAACTAAATAATATCTGACCAAATCTCTGAAATCGAATCCCCTAATACTTACATATGGAAACCACATAACTAGCAGGAGCCTAATAGACACAGGAATCGACAAAAAATAGCTATC